TCTATGGTTAACTGATATCTAACCAAATGAATGTATGTATGCTTATATGTGTATTTATATATTTACAATATACAGTTGATCTTTTGTTATGATAAATTTCATCGCCGTATTAAAATCTTGAAATATCTTGGTGCAAACTGCATAGTGTTATACACTATACACACTATGTTATATTTCTTTCCTTCTCTTTGTGTCTGTATATGGATTTAAAGTGTTTGTGTGCGTTTTGCGCTGCTGTTCTTTTTCTTCAGACTCAGTCATCATTTAGTGCTACTGCAGAGTCTTTTTATAGCATGACCGAAATGGTATTCCTGTATCAAAACCATATTCAAAAGTAAGATACACTCACGTGGAGGCACATTACAATATGGTAGGTATACAATAACACATGTAACATCACATACACAAGTGTAATATAAGTGTGCTCGTAAAAGCTACAATATAATTTAAGTGAAATTATTGTCTATTACATGTTTTTGTGGTGTCGTGGTCAGCACAGTCGCCTCCTACGCGACGGATACAAGAATGTAATTTTTATGCATAATTTTTTTTGTATTTCTATCTATTTACCTTCCGTTCCATATATCTTTCTACTTTTGTTTCTGTCTCCTCCGGTGTTTACAATGCGAAGGAGTAAGGAGTTGGAGTGTCTGATATTGTTTTTTTTTTTTTTTTTTTGTTGTTTGTTGGTGTTTATGCGCGTTTTCGTAATTTTGCTGTTAGTCCTCTCATACTCATATGACTGTATTAGTGAGATGAGAAGCAAAAATGGGGGAGGAAGAAGGACGAACACGTGATGAAGAGATAGAAAGAAAAATCAAGACGGAGTAGAAAAGGTGTTAGTGTTATCTTCGTTCCACTTTGCCTACTTCAGATAAGAAATACGATTTCATGGGAGAGAAGAATGATCTCTCTTTTTCTATAGTAGCCTGATGTTTACCTATATATTTGGAAAGGTCTGTTGTCACTGTAGTTCACAGGGTCATGAAATAAATGAATGCTCCTTATGGTCCGTCGTGAAATAAAAATGCAAAGTAGACAAACCAGGCAGTACAGTATTTTCAGCGGGAAAATACTATTCAATATGTTATTAGAAATATTTTTTTTGGAAAATATCTGTATTATGGTCGAGGTGTGGAAGGTGTGAATGGTCAACGATAATGAAGGATCCAGATTATTATATCTTCTCTGAAGATAAGAAGCGAAATAATTGTCTCTTGCCAACCAAACATACCTCGTGTTTTCTTTCCTTCTCTTTGTGTCTGTCCGCTTTTTCTGCACGTGCGTGTGAGGGCGGGGAAGGTTGCAGATAAATATAGATTCGTTTTGCGCTGCAGTTCCTGTTTTTCTTCGCACCGAATCGGCATTTATTGTTCCTAGAGACGGTTTATAACTAGACGGAAATGGCATTTCTGTATCAAAATCATATCAAAAGGTAAGATACACTCACGTGGAGGTACATATCTAGGTTAGTAGCAGTTTAGCTTAGACGTAGCATTTATTGATTATCTGTTAAACCGGAAATTTTCAAATATCAATGAATATCTACCTTGCGGTATCATCACGGGTATCAATATTAACCTGAAAAAATAATTGAAAATATAAATCGATGACTGATTTTATAAAGAGTAATTTATAACATATACAATGAATTAAACTCAAACTGATCGCAGCTACTCCCCCTTCTCTGTGTGCCTTTTACCCCCTCTCTCTGTACACTCTGTGTGTCTCCCCTCTCTGGCGTCTGATTAGGTGATTTCTGTATAATGAAAAATAGGGACACTGAGAAAATAAAAATAAAATAAGAATTAGAGTAAACATATGGAAAGTAGATAAGAAAAATCAAATTTGCTGTAGTCATTGTCCAATGGCGGCTCCAAACAAAAATCATAAATTATAAGTAAAAGCTAAACAAAAATTTGTCTACAAAATGTAATACTGTTTTTCAGCGAAAAATAAAAATTATTACGGAGTGGTAATTAGATAAACATAAGTGATAAAACGTTACATGTATATATTTATATATATATATATAGCGTTCCTGATGACTTCCAGTTTTTAGGATGTACAAGCTATGATTTTTAAGTCATAATTCGCAAGAAATTTTAGCATAATTAAACCCCGAAAAGAAAATCGCTCTAAGTGTTTGATGATAGCAGTTGTATATTTACTCCTCTATATATTTACTCCCCTTTAAAGATCCTCATCACAGAAGCATTTTGGTTCATGAACTAAGAACTCATCAGACAGAAATTTCAAAGCGACATGTTGGAAAATCGTGGTTTGTAAACTGCTTAATGGTTGGTTTTCCGATGAGAACCACAGAGGATTATCATATTTTTTCTTATATATGCAAACTCTAGGCTTTGCTGCATCAGTGTAATGTGAATGAAAACGAAGTAAAACAATGGTGAGCAAACATGAAAATAGTGACGTTAAAAGTCTAGCTAATCCTTCAAGTGAAAGTTTAACATTTTCTCCACCTCTGATCGAATGATAA